TGTCTAAAACCTTGGGCTACTAATCTTGCCTTATGGATTATATTTCCCTCTTTGTCAGTTTTTATCTTAAAAATCCATTTGCAGCCAATGGGTTTTATATCTACAGGTAATCTCGCATTTTCATATACTTTCATATCTTTCAAGGATTTCAATTCCTTATTCATTGCTGCATACCAACTTTTCTTCTCTCTAGAAGGATACCTTTTTATCTCATCCACAGTATTTGGAACTCTATTTACCTGGCACACTGTGTTAGCCTGGTATCTATCAGGCGGTCTAGATATTCGGGTAGTTCTTCTGGGAATTACAGGGCTTGTATGAGGACTTTTTTGAATTACTACCTGGTCCTGTTCCTCATCTTGCTGAGCTATTGGTTCTATTTCTTCCTGTATGGGCACAATTTCTTCCTGTACTTCTCTTTTTACTTTGTTCTTAAAGTTACAGGGATTATTAATGGGATTTCTATAGGATTCAATAATCACTTCTTTATTGTTATCCTGTTCTAACTTATCCCATCCTACGTGCTCTAGAAATTGGGCATTGGCACTACATAACACCTTAGATGTGCCTTTCTCCCAAAATCTATATGCCTTATGGTTAGCTTGGTAACCAACGAAGAAAAATTGTTTAGCTCTGTGTTGCCCTTTACGCCTGAGTTGTGTAGGGATATGCACCCATGCTGGTGCACCAAATGTGTGCAGGTAACTCAGATCAGGCTTCCTGCCATGCCACATGGTGAATGGTATTTCACCAGTAGTTGAGTTAACCACATTGTTCAATATGTGATTGGCACACATTGCAGCCTCCCCCCACAAAGAATCAGGTAATCCAGAATCAGTTAACATTGTTCTAACCATTGCCTGTAGTGTTTGGCCTCTTCTCTCTATAAATGCGTTGTGTTGTGGTCTGTATGGTGCAGATTTCTTGTGCTCTATTCCAGCTACCTTTAATCTATTCTGGAATTTGTTATTAACAAATTCCGTACCATTATCTGTCACCAAGGTTATCAGTTGCCGTTTAGACTTTCTTTCTGCAAACTTTAACCAGTTGAAGAAATGTTGATATGTTTCAGTTTTGCTTTTCATTAAGTAGCAAAACCCATATCTAGAGTAATGGTCCATAATGATCAATATATATCGAGCACCCCCCATACTGGGTTTCTTTGGACCTATAATGTCTGCAAATACTACTTCTAAAGGTTCTTTAGTTTTGAAACCATTTAGCCTATTTGCAGGCAATATTTTACTCTTATCTTCACAGCAGACATTACAACGCAAATATTTATCACAGGGTTTTAACCTTATTCCTTCAGATAACTCTACTGTACGTTTTAGCATTTTAAAATTCACATGCGCCAAACGCCTATGCAATAAATGGATACATTCATTATGAGGCTTTATATTGTTAAATACAGTCTGTGCCTCCCCTTTCTTACTATCATGTAAAACATACAATGCTCCATTTAAAGCTGCAGTTACCCTTTTGTTATCTCTTTCAAGTATGCACTTATTATCCTTAAATGTAATTACATAACCTAGTTTATCTAATACTCTTACAGAAAGTAAGTTCATCTTTAACTGTGGTACATACAACATTTTTATATTCTGGTTTAAACATGGACAGTATGCAATACCTTCACCCTTGGCCTTGAGGTGCCAGCCATTCACGAGTGATATATGTTGAGAGCTTGTAGACATTTTTATAAACTTTGTCTTATCTCTCGTGATGCAGTGGGATGCTCCACTGTCCACCACCCATAAATCATTCTTCACATCACAGTTGCTGAACGTGGCTACTTCAAAGGATTTCTTTGGCTTCCTTACATTCTGGCTTTTTCCTTTTCTGCAGAATCTTGCCAAATGTCCTCTGCCTCCATAATTAAAACACTTTTTAATTGTGTATGCCGTCGAAGATAAATCCTGGTGCTTTACCTTACATAGCTGGTTTCTTTCAAGCTTTGAAGATAATTTCTCTTCTTTATTAGGCTTATCTTCTCTCAGCTGGTCACGTTCATACCTTCTTCTGGCTTCTTCTAATAGCCTGCCGGTAATCTCAGTTACTGATAAACTGTCTTTTGGCAATACTTCTAAAGCAGTCACAAAATCATCATAGCTTCGATCCAAAGAAGACAGTATAATGTATACTTGTTGCAACTCATTAAATATAAGCTCTTTTTCTTGTAATTCTTGAAAAATGCTTTTCATACAGTTTAAATGAGTTAACATGTCTCCATTTTTCTCAAGATGTGTTCTAAACAGCTTCCGTGTAAGATTTATATGAGCTCCTACACTGTCTCGAACATAAATCTTCTTGAGATTCTCCCAGCAGTTTGCAGCATTTAACTCTCCACGAATATGAATCAGTTGCTGGTCTGAGAGAGTCAGTCCTATGATGCACAACGCCTGCTCATTCTTTCGTTCATAGTCTTGTATCTTTTTGGCATCCTCTTCATCATTAGGATCTAAGTTAGATACATCTGGTGGGTTTGTTATTATGTCCCACAAACCTTCTCTTCGTAGAAGTAAATTACATTTCATTGACCATGAAACATAGTTTGTTCCATCTAGTCTGGATATCATGGACAGACTTGGCAAATTTACTAGTGCCATTGCTCTTCAGATAAATAACTATTCAACAAACAGTTTGTATTTACAGTAATGTGCAACTCAGACCAAAACTCTCTGCTATAACCTGGTTAGTTAGACTGTGCTCACTGCTGGGCCCATAACCAATGTTAGTGTTTGGGGACAAACCCCCAAGCAGAGTGCACAGCAGCAGTCAAGCCAGGCAGCCAAATGAGAGAGAGGCTGGGCCCAAGAGTATACACACACTGGAGACAAAAACACTGTTTGTGGTTTTAAATAGTTATTTAATTCACACAGAGTTTAAGCAGTGTCATTCAGTCCATATGTCATTTATCCAATATATCCATCCAGTAACCTAGTCCATTAACTAGTCAGTACAATGTCTTTATCTGCTTGTAAATCTTCTCCTCCCGATACCTTTCTCTCGAAGACAACGCTGAGTATGCACAGGATATCAGGTCACCAAGTAAACAGTCCTTTTGTAGAAACAGTATCCAGCACAGTAGCCAACAAGCAGACGTCTCATACAGGAGTAAACAGCAGGCAGCAGATAGCAGACAAGCGACCAGTAACACCAGGAACCAGGAATCAGCAACCAGGAAGTGTTACGTCTCTCTCACTGCCTTATTACTGCTGCTTGCAACCGCACCCTTAATTATCAAATTACATTGCAGTTTTTGTGCTTAAAGCTACAAACACTTAAACCTAGGTTTATATATTTAGTCACCCAAACCAGTTGGTGTATCCATATACCCAACATTTTCTATGTAACCGCTTCTTGTTGCATAAAATTTATTTTTTGTTTTTCTTGGTTTACCCAATTCTAATTTCTGTAAAATGGTCATTTTATATACAATCATTATACTTCTTTCAACAGATATTCATATATTTCAACTAAATCCATTCAGACTATTTATTACCATTTGATCATCATTATTACATAAATGCTTTCATGGCATTTTTGCATCCTTTTCCTCATATTTATTAATTTTCTACCAAGTTGCACAAATGTATTTATGTGATATAATTTTACTATTTACAATGGTGATTAAGTTTGTGAAACTTTTTGAATTTCCAATACTTATGTATATATGTGTAACCTAAAGCATGGTCTGTTTTTCATAAAAGTCCTCTAACTAAATAAAGATTTGTTTATATAAAAAATAAACATATAAATCAAAAACAATATTCATTTCTTTATTGAAGAAAATGTTATTTGATTTTTATTAACAAGGCTTGCAATATTAAATAGATTAAATCAGCTTGCAGCCTTCTCCAAAAGATTTTGGAATTAATTATAAAGGGTCTTTCTCATAGAAAAAATTCTTTGCTTTGAATAAGCATAATCAGACACTATATGGAACTAAGGATTACAATTAAGGGAGTATGCATACATTGGACTTACAATTATTTTTGAACAATGAACTCACAAGTTAATTTTAATAGTGCCAATAGAGATATCTCATTCTATTGAAAGACTATATCTAAAAGATGTTATGGAAAAAAAACTAATTCTACTTGATAAGATGAAGATTGGGTTGAAACTGGATGACCTGCAAAAAAGATACTACACTGCAAACATAGAAGAAAGTAGTGATGTTTTAAAAGGGATATAAAACAATAAACCAGGATAATTTTCCTATATTGGATTTACAAAAGAATCTTGTTAAATTTTTAAAGAATCTTATGAGAGGATAAAGCAAAAATGGAAATAAATCAAGTTCTTAATTGATTAAAGATTAAAATTGTTAGAAATAAAAAGGAAGGAATATAAAGTTGATTTATTTGATCAAGGTTAAAATATATTTCTTGTGACCCTTAATGTAATTTTGATGATATCAGGACTAAACAGTGATTCTTTATGGATTTTTTTATAGATAAAATATTTTGGGAAGAAAGGATCATTTGTTGTATTTTAAAAGGAGATTATATGTTATTTAAATTGTTTATACTTATCATGAAGATGGGAATTAACTTTTTAAAATATGCAGTATATATTCTTTACTATATTGTTTTTGTTCTTGTTTTAATTTGTATTAGTTTTTATTTTTGCAACTATCATTTTTAATAAAATTGCCATATTTTTACAATTTTGTTGTTACTATTTAATAGCCTTAAAATAATTTTAACATAAAATTATTAGTTTGGATTTGCAGTAATAAAATAGTGAGTAAATAGTTTAATGTAGCGAACTGGTTCTATAGCTACATTTATTTTTTTGATACAATTGTTTTGGAAGACATAACCTGGGAAGAATATAGTTTCTCCTGTTGCTTATAATTGGTGAGAAATTGCTCTATTCTGCCTCTTGACGATTCCAATTTTTAGAAGATCTACAAAATGTTACTGTGTTAAAAACATTTTTGGAGAAAAGTATTGAATACTTTTTTCATAGGTTTTGCTTTTGTTTTTCAGCATCTCTCCTGAAAGGTCTGAAACATGCTAATATTGTGCTGCTTCATGATATCATTCATACAAAAGAGACACTGACCCTAGTATTTGAGTTTGTGGTAAGTTTATACAATTTTTTTTTTTGCATTCTATCACCTAAGCTAAAAACTTAAAATACAATGATAATCATATCAGATATTGCCTTAATTTCTGATGCATAAGACAAACTATCTTGATTCCTTTCTTCTCCCCCATTCTACTATTTAGAGATGTATAATTCCTATAATTGTACTCATTTTTATAATATGTATTCATTATCTGCATAAAATTTAATTTATTATATTTTGAAAGCTGCCTTAAGAGCTGTATAATGTGCAATAAAGAATTTAAACAAACCACAACTTAGCTTTTAACCACTCAATTGGTAGAGATAAAAGAACAAGAACTTGTACTTTGCATGAAAGGAAAAAGTAAAAAATAAAAGATAATCTCTCTAATATGAAGCTAACATAAAAATATGCAAGATTTTTCAAGGAAAATTTTACAATTGGCCTTTCTTTAGCCACCCATTAACAAGCTGCTAACTTTTTTTTTTGCAAGTTATAGCTTTTTTTCATTTATTTACAAGTACTCTGTTATATAGCACTGCACTAATTGAAATCTTTTTATGTGGACTGGTAATTTTGATAAAAAACCATAATTATAGATTCAGGAAAACATTGTGAAACTTGAAAAGGAATTTACACAAGTTCAGAACTGTATTTTTTTTATTGCATCTGGAAATTCTGTTTAAATAATTAGTATCAGAAAACTATAGTCAGGATAATTTATACTCCATAGCTTCTTTTCCTTCCATAGCATTTCAGCTATTAATTAAAATTTCAGTTTTCATAGTACGCAATTTAAAGATGTAATTTTACTGAGAGAATCATTATATAAGGTTTGGTTTTAAACTCCCAATAAATCATCTTTCATTTTCCCAAGACTAACATATGGTATTTATATAACATGATTTCAGTATTTAGCTGCAGTATTGAATAATGAGTTATTGTAATTAATTCTCAAATTTCTACCAATGGAAAAATAATATATAATTTATAAGAAATTTCAACTAGATTTAACTAGATTTATTTTTATAGTAAAAAATCTGTACAGTTAATATTTCAATGACCTTTATGTATGTATGTATGTATGTATGAATGTATGTATGTATGTATGTATGTATGTATGTATATATGTATACTTAATTTTACATGCTATTTTTATGCAGGATGCTCTCCTACTTTATTATAAACTACTTGGATTGTCAGAAGGGCAATATATCTCTATCATAGTTAATACAGAGAATATTGTATGGCCTAGAGATGGTAGAAGACTAATCTATGTACAGATGTCAAATCAGGGAGATGGAAGAGAGTGTGCAAACTACTGCATCATTACATTAACTCACAAGTAGTTTGTGTACAAGGGAGTATAGAGAAAATGAAAAATTTGAAAAAAATGGGTTAAACAAATGTTTAAATTTTTTGCATAGTCCTCAATTTGTGATCATTTGTTTAACGATGGTTCAAAATTATAACAGCACTAAAATGATTTATGATCAATTTTGCACTAATGACCATATCAGTGCCCTTTTCATAGTCATATGATCAATATTTGGGTCGTGGCAACTGGCATGTATTTACAATAATAGCAGTTTTCCCACAAACAAATTCAATAGGGGAATCTGGATTCATTTCAGTGATCAAAGCAAAAAAAGTTGTTAAATTGGCCATTACTCACTTAATAACTGCATAATTTAATGATGACACTTCTGCTCCCAATTGTGGTTATAAGTCAAGGACTATCAATATGTTTGCTTTACTGACTACAGCAAGATCTTTGTTTAAATTATATCAGAATATATTTATTGCTATGAAGAACTTCTGTGATGAATAAAAAAGTAGCGTAAGAACTGAGTTTGGGAAAAATTAAGAGATTCAGAGTATAAAGGCTCTCATACCTTTATAAATATATACGGTTAATGTATAATGACATGTTGGAAGAGTTAACATGTGAAATCAAAATTGGACATTAGAAAATTAACTCTTAAGAGATGTACTGATGGCAATAGCTGAAGATAACTTCTACTTAAATAGGTTATGAGAATAAAAATGGAAACTGAAAAATCTTGAGTGTTAAATATTAGAAAACAAAGGTAGTATCAAAGAACGATTAGTGAACTTACACTTCAGAACATATCAATTAAGATAGGTAGTTTTCTTTCTTTTTTAATAATTTTATTAAGTAAACATTAAAAACAATTGAACACAGTGTGACTTTCTTGGCCATCATTTTGGCCGTACATACTATAGCATAAAAGTAGACATAACTGTTAATTTTTCCTTTTTTCCTACATTGTTTATTTAATGCTGGTTACATATTTCTTTCTTTTACATTTATATACATATTTACAACCTAGCTTCTTTTCCATCTCCTTTTTCCCCTCATAGTCTTTATATTCATATCATATTTGTCTATTATATTTCATTTTCTTTAACTTACAAAACTTTTAACTTTCATTCCTATAAAGTGTCAACAATTTCTTCTTTTCCTTGACTCCAGCCATTGATACGTTTTGCTCCAGGCTTCATAGTACTTTGTCTCACCCTTATCCTTAATTTCTAGAGTTAGTCTTCTGTCTCTGCACAGTCCAATATTTTCCTTATTATTTCGCTTTCACTAGGGGTGTCTTCATTCTTCCAGTTTGGGGCATACACCAATCTCACAGCTATTATTATGTGCAACATTAAGTATATTGTTCCTTTATTATATTTCTCATCTATAATTATAATAGGAACATTTCTGGTCTAAACTCTATTTTTTGGCTAACCATCTCTTCCATCCATACCTTTATCTGCCACCAATACTCTTTTGCTTTTATACATTTCCACTACATGTGATAGTAAGTCCCTATCGCCATGCTGCATTTCCAACATTGTGGTTATACATTTTTACTTATTTTAGCCAATCTTGTTGAAGGAAGGTGCCATCTGTAAAACATTTTGTATTGATTTCCTTTATACAAAGTTGCAAGTGTTATTTTTCTATTTCTTTCCCATACTTTTGCCAATTGTCTAATGCAATATTGTAACTGAAATTTTTAGCCTATATTATCACAACTTTTTAAAGTTGCTCCTCCTCCATTTTATATTCTAGTAGATAATTATATATTATCTTAATTGCTTTTTCCTCTGTTCCTAATAACATTTTACCTAATGTCGTCAATTCTCTCTGTATATCCCATTCGTTCTTATCTTTCTTATATCGTGATTGAATTTGAAGATATGCCCACCATTCAACTTGCATCCCTTCTTTCAATTCTTGTCTGGATTTTAGTTCCTATTTTTCATTTAGTAGTTCTTTATACGTAGTAACTTTCCCCAGATTCAGAAAATTTAGGTGTACCAATGCTTATAATGTTGAGAACCATACCGGGGGTCTACGTGTAATTCTGCTGTTTAATTTTTATCCACACATTAAGCAGAGCATGTCTTCATAATGCTTCTGGAAATACTGGTGAGCTTTATATCTTTCATCCCATAAAAAGGCTTGCCATCCTAATTGTAGTGTTAATTCCACAGTGTTAATAACCTGTTTTTTTTAAAAAAAATATCCACTCTCACATCCAATTTAGTGTAGTGGCATGGCTTGGCTTGGTAATACAGCTTCCAGTCGGGCAAACCAAACCCACCTCTTTCTTTAGCATCTTGTAATGGTTTTAGTTTAATTCTCGGATTTGTCCCCTGCCAAATAAATTTCATTATTGTTTTGTTCAAATCTTGAAATCTTCAAAATATTTTTTCTCTAATTGCAAATTGTTTTATACTCTGGCTGGTGTTGGCTTTAGTGAAATCTTGCCACCATGATTTTTGGCAATCTTCTTTCCTTTTATTGCTAAACGTTTTGAGCACAAATGCCTTTTCCAGTGAATTTTGAACATAAATGTTTTTTCCAGTGAATCTAGTGATTGCATGACACAGCCAAAATAACTACAACAGAATTTTGTGGGTTTTCTTTTTTCTTTTGCCTTGCAGTGATTTGCCTGGTTTAACATGTACACTCCGGTACATGTTTTGTCATCTTTGCTGTCCAAATGATGCAAAGGACCCGTCTCCAGTTGAAATGACTTTCATCATGTCTAGTTTTTTTACAATCCAATTTTCACAGTCATAGATAGATACAGAAAACATAATGCAGACTAATCTGCATTTAATTGCCAGGCTAATATCCTTTCTTTTTTATATCCAATTCATGCCCATTGTTGCTGTGTTACCCACTATTATTTGACACTTTATTTCTGGACTGAATTCCCTGCTTTGATCAATCTATAATCAGGAAAGCGAATTCTTGCACGCATTCATTCTTTTCACCATCAGTTGTTATTTTGACATTTCATTACTGCAGTGGTCATGAGCTTAGTATTTTTGATGTTCAGGAAGTGGCAAAAATTTTCTCTTTCCCCTTTAACCATTTTGATCAAGTTCTAGGGTTCTCACAATGATTTCAATATGCAAGATGAATAAAAAAGGTGAATAAAATGCAATCTAGTCACACTTTTTCTACTTTGGACCAATCATTCTTTCTACATGGCATTCACACAGTGGCTTCCTGATTTGTGTACAGTGTTTGTACCAACTTGATCAGATTTGTTGGCATTCCAGGGCTTTCCATAGGTTGTCACAATTGACACAATTAAGGGCTCTCTTATAGTCAATAAAATAGATATATATGTTCTCCGTCACACTGCTCGAGAGTCCAGCATTGGGTATGACTCTGCCCACTTATGACGTGAGCTGAGTCTGCCACTATAAAAAGCTCACCTCCACTGAGAGCCCCAGCTTTTTGACTCAGCTCTTGGACATAAGAGCTATTGTCTCTGGACTCTTAAGTTGTTAGTATTCCTCACACAGAAAAGAACAAAGCAGGAATCAATAAAACACAGTTAAACAGCTCCTGTGGCTCCAGTAGAGCTTTGCTGATGAGAGCGGGGATCCGCTTTTCTCCACTTGTCAGCTGCCTCAACTCGGTGCTGATACATCGGCAGTAAGTGAGCTCATTTAAAATGCTGTGAAATCTC